GGGGGAAAAAAAGAGCAGCACCCGATCTAGCGTATATACATGTTATCGTACTGAGTTCTGACGGAATTCACCTGCCATAGTCCGTGACCACATTCGGGTGTACCGAGGGTGTAAAGGACCAGGGTCCAACGTAGAAAATTCGGGCCTCCCCCTTCGACGAAATTGCATGCTTCAAGCACTTTCTCCCACATCTTCTCTTTTAACGGGATGAACTCTGTACGGTGCCGTGGAGGGAGCATGGATCACTCAAGGTCCCTTTGAGAACTCCTGGAGTCTCGATAAGTGTGATCTGGCGCGACTCATGTAATTGGTATCCATCTCAACGGTCAAATACTTATGAGGTCTATGCTTCAGCGCCAGGATAGGCTTTCTTTGGTGTAGTGCACTCGATTTCCTGTTAAAACTATACTCGCTGTGCTTATTGCTCGAGATCTGGACCTGGTTGTTGCGCAACCGAGCAGCTTCTCATTCGTGGGATCGCTGCCCTTCCAAAACTAATAAGAGGCACAGTGTTTGCTGTACGATCGACGCCCCGATCGAGAAGTTTGGTCCGAACTCATAATAAGGTTCCGTTGTTGGAGAGTGTTGGAAGTTGTCTCTATGGACTGGGATTGCTGGTCCAGCCCCGGTAGTTGGGCTGGTGTAAGGTATGGTAGAAGAGGAGAATGACCAGTCACAAAGCGGGCCGCCGAAACTGGGGTCGACAAGGGGTTGGGACAGCCCTGACAAAAGGACCGATGGCTCCAATCTCCAAGATAGGGAAACGTCATGCCCATTGGGTCCCGGCTACCAGTTACCCTCGCTCTCGCAGCCACCCATCATTGTGCTTGGGATCAGGGGTGGTGAAGACTCGAGAGATTTGCTGCGGTACAGAGTAATCCGCGACCGAGCCTTTCCGTCAGATCTTGGTCAAAGCTGATAGAATAAGACAACGACCCCAACACACGTACCTGAATGGAACCCATGGTGCGGCACAGGAATAACCCACTCCTTGCTGATACACGTATGGATCTAATATCCTGGAGGCGTATCCATGAAAAGGCGGAATGGATTAGAAGGACCTCCGTCATACGGGCAACATCATCCTCCTTTCCTTGAGAGGACAGTCACGGAGCAGAGCTTCTGCTTCCTCGGAGGCGATCGTTATAATATACTTTGCATGCCCATTTTTGGCCTATAAAAACCACCAGCGGTTCCCGCGTTTGCCATGGATAGGGCAAGTAAATCTGCCCAAGCTTCACCAGCATGACTCGCCTTCCACAATTTGAAAAGGGAGAATGAGGAGGCGGCTGTTCAAAGATTCGGAGATGAGCTTGTTGGAATTGATGTCGCGGCAGAGGATTATCCCTCATCGACCAACAACATGTTCGAGGTCGTTCAGGAAGCGAGGCCCACCGGATGCAACTTTGGCTCTTGGCGAAGCAAACAATGTTTGTGGGAATCCTTCGTAGAATCCAAAAAATCCCGCGGCTGAGCGGCAGAGCAGCAGAGCAGCATGTCATTGTTTGCTTCGATAAAAGTGGTTTTGTGGTTGATAGCGGGAGGCGAGTATGGTTGTCGATTAACTTGGTATGCAACGGGGAGGCGGGCACGAGATGGGATCGAGCCAAGTTCACCGGCGTTGTATTGTCTACAGCCCTATTCCCTGCTCTCCGAGACAGGGAAGACCAGACTGCCAAGTCGGAACGTCTGAATTTTGTCAGCACTTATTGCCTAGCAGCTCTTGGTCCCGAAACCTCGAGGAAATCATCCCGGAAAAGGTCGCACTGCATGTTGGACATATTGTAGAAATGGGGGCGGAACAACGCTTTGCAGGTCAGCTCTCCGCCCCCCAGACACAGTCGTGACGAGAATGAAGTTGCTGGCTCTAGATCTTCCGCCTGATTGCGTTCTGTTGGCTAATGTAACCTGATTCCAACACGTCTTGCCACAACCTGGCCGGGTGCTGACCGATTGCAAAGGCAATACACGACCCAAACGAGGATTGAAGCTCCGAGAAGCAGCAAACATGATCCTTCGGCCCCATTAACAAGCTGAAGATTACTCCTCTTTTTCTTTGCAACTTTCCACTTGACTTACCGGATTCATGCGGGTATTCATCGGTCCCTGTGTGGACGGCGGCTTGCGGGATTGAACATGCCCGCTAGTTGCATTAGATCAAATTACATCGACTCATGCTGGTCTTCCAACGAGGGCACTAGCTCGCGGTGGAGGCGAGGTCGGTCTGAACTTAAAACTGCGGACTCGGAAGGCACTGGAGATTTGATCGCTCATTCAGAATACAACGGCAATAGATATTCGCTAGAACACCTCGAGAGTTTCTAGTCTTTCTCATCCTCTCACCTGGTCTTGCTGCCGTCCAGTCAACAACCCCGATCCTCCCATCAGATCACCCCCACGCAACGACGACGGGAGCTCGTGCGCAGACACACACTCACACACACAGAGTCAAACAAACTCTGGTAATCATGAGGTTCTCAACGGGTTTGTCGATCTTGGCCTTGGCTACCTCGACTGTCTCAGCAAGGGGTCGCAGTCCTCACTGCGTGTGTGTACGTCACCCTCCCTTCCCCCCTCTCATCCACTCCCACTGGTGATCATTTCTAACTTTGGCCCCATACAGTGCTCTGCTCTTGCCCAAGATCAAGACCTTCAAGGCAAGGTCTACTCAAAGGACAACTCATTCTACGATGCGCGGTTAGAGACATATTACTCTGCCAATGCTGCTCAAGCTCCTTGGTGCATGGTGTTGCCCGAGAGCACCTCGGACGTGACGAAGATCGCAAAGATCTTGAATAGAAACCAATGTCCTTTTGGCATCCGCAGTGGTGCTCACTCGGCTTTCACTGGATCCAATGGTGTCAAGAAGGGTGTCACCATCGACTTTGGTAAGCACTCCTACTGATAATCCATGACATGGGACGCATCATGTGTTGACAAACGCTTTTCTCTAGGTTACATGAACACCACGACATACGATGAAGGAACAAAGATTGCTTCAATCCAGCCTGGCTCAGACTGGGAAAGGGTCTTCTCTACCCTTGATCCCTATGGCGTTGCTGCTGTTGGTGGAAGAGCGTCAGTTGTCGGTGTTGGCGGTTTCACAACGGGTGGCGGTGTAAGTGAACCCAATTTGGCGTCTCATAAACCGTCGCCGTCTCAAATATCTCGAAGATTTACTAATACTTAAGATCTTAGTACTCCTTCCACACCAACTCTCATGGCTTTGCTTGCGATTCGGTTACCAATTTTGAGGTTGTGCTTGGGGATGGTTCCGTTGTGAACGCCAATGCAAACGAGAACGCAGATCTCTGGAAGGCCCTGAAGGGAGGTTCAGGAAACTTTGGTTTCGTCACTAGAATCGATGCTCGTAAGTTGCTCATACTATAATATGGTGTTCTTCACTAATACATCCCCTATAGGTACTGTTGACTCGACACAAATGTCAGGTGGCTTCGTGAGCTACAACCTCACAGAGAGAGACAACGTCTTCAACGCCTACCTGAAATTTGCCAACAACATGGACAATGACCCCTATAGCCAAAACATTGTCGCTCTATACTACGATAAGACCGGCTTCAGCTTGCGATCTATCCTGACCAACGTCCAAGCCAACATGGACGCGCCTGCTTTCGACGACTACTACGCGATCCCCAACATCTCCAGCACTGTCCGTGTTGGTACTGTCGCCGAGCTCGTTCCGGAGTTCACTGGTCCCACTCCCTTGGGCCTGTAGTAAGTTGTTCTTCGTAGCAAGACCCACGAGGCGGTTCTGACACTATGTAACAGCGCAAATTGGATGGTTGGCCAGACCACCAATGATTTCCGTATCATGGACTTCATCGACACCAAGCTGAAAGAATACTCAGCCAAGATGAAGGAAGCCGCGCCCGAGTCCGACTTCAACGTCCTTGTCCAGTTCCAGCCCGTCACCCAGTCCATCGTCAAGCACGGCCTCGATAACGGCGGAAACTCACTCGGCCTGGAGAGTGTTGTTGCGGATGGCCCTACCATCATGTGGCTCATTGCCTTGACTGTCGATACCCCTGCGAACCAGAAGTTGATCCTCCCTTTTGCCCTCGAGTTCCGTGCCGCCATCGATGAGTACGCCAAGGAGATTGAGGCGTACAAGGAATGGAAGTACCTCAACTACGCATGGAAGGACCAAGACCCGCTCTCGACCCATGGCCAGGAGACCATTGATTTCCTCAAGTCAGTCTCAGAGGAGTACGATCCCGAGCATGTCTTCCAGAACCTCCGCAAGACCGGCTTCAAGCTTCCTGCTTAAGAGTCCTTCTGAGTTTGGCTGGAACTTTGGAGATTAAATTCTACAAGGGCCATACAAAACGATTCGCGTAAATCACGGCACATGCAGGTTACGGGGAGCTGCAAAGATGGACATGATCTTTGATCTTTAATCCTATTCTACTATTCATTGTAACTAATTGGCGCCTCATCAATATCCTGTATCAATACCCTGCATTCAGACGAGTATCTTCTTATCTTAGTACATAACCCTATTTTCTCTTTTGTACTTATAGACTACAACCCTAGGTATTCTTTAGATAGTTGATACAATATGCCTACATCGTCTTTACACTTATTTATCCCATCGACTGCGAGATAACGCCAGTACATGCACCTCCAGTTTTCTCCAACGGGGAGCTTCTTGGTTGGTTGCACCGGGCGGAATTGAGACGGGTTCTAGACGGATAATCATGGAATAATATACGATTTGCCACTTCCCCTCACGAGAAGTAAGTACTCATTTACTGACGTTATCTCGCAGTCGATGGGATAAAAGATTACTTCAAATGTCGATGATTGGTTTTCTATCGAGTCGTAATTAAAATAGGCCCATGAATCTAATGTGCCATTTTCTTTGTTGACTTGGGCTATGCTGCTCATCCAGACCTAGGCTACCAAGTTTTCAACCAAGCTCGCCAGCTATCTGATATTTAATGGCCAAAAGCTTGGTATGCACTCGAGAGTCGCGTTCGCTAAGTGAGCTCGTCCATTAATTGCCAAAGACTGTCGGGAAATGCTTCCCCGTAATTCTCAGCTTCAGTAATGGTTATCTCTTGCCACTCAGCAGGAAAGATCTTTCCAAGTAACAGGTCCTGGGAGACGAAGTCGTATGGTGATTGTTGCATTGTTGCGTCGTTTGAATTCTGCTCAAGACTTGAGGCGACTTGTGCAGCGTGATTCCGAGGCAGCGCCTCCACAGCTCTGAACTGGCTTTCAGGCTCATTGTTTCCCAGAGAAGTAGGGTCTGGGGAGGAGAATCCGTTCATCATTTTTCGAAAGAGCGCCAGTACGACATCATAAGCGAATCCTGCCATGGCATTCCGCGGCCTCATTGCATCTAGCCTTGCCAAGCCCCATTCCAAGCGGTTCACCGATTCTGCCAGAAGATGTTGCGCATCATCCGGGGCTCGAATGTAGGTTGCTGCCACTAGAACCATGGCATCGAATATAGAGAAGACAAGAGCGAATCCCCTATAAAGTAAAGCCCCCGCGTGTTCGAACAGCCTGCTTTGTGACGCAAGCATCTTCAGCGCGGCCGTGTGTGCCTCTACTCGACTTGCAGACAGTGTGGTTATGAAAGGGCGATGCAGTGCGAGCAGGACAAAATAGACCTCAGTAATGAGTGTCTCGCGAGCCGCAGGGAGCCAAGGGTATCTGCCGTCGAGTACCGGAGTTGCAGAGGTTGCCCATGCCGGGAGTTTGGAAATATTGCTGATCACGGCGTTGTGTATTTTCTGAACGGTCTCTTGCGCATCCTTGTTCTCAACCCCAAGATCGTGGATATCCTGTAGATACCTGTAAGCAGCATGATAGCCACATACCATGAAGTCGAATGGGGATATCGTTACGTCGTCTAAGTCTGACGGATGCGGCGCAACTGTCAGGCTCGTCACCTTGGGCACGCAGCTCGAGTCCAATCTGGTCGTCATGGGCCTCCCGAGAACAACAGCCATGTGCGCGTCCCAGAGATGCAACATAAACCACAATTTCTTCTCCAGTGGAAATACCGGATTTTGTATATCGTGTTCGGCAGGCGGACTTGTCTCCCAAACACTACGTGTGTGCAAGCCAAGTTCTTGGGCGTCTCGGATCGTTCTTCCAAGTGTGTGCCAGGCTTCGATAACTGAGCCATTGCTCTTCTCGAAAAATGCCTCCATCAGTCCAGCCCGAATTCTGTTGAGAGAGATGTCTTTATTCCCAAGCATCACCATGATTTGATGGCCCACACTGCTATAATCTGCCGCCAGGTCGGCAAAGTCGATATCAGGTGCGTACTTGAGGCCCTGCAGTGCTTCGTCGTTTTCATCAGGGTGGAATTGCAATGCGAGTGCAAGAACCTGAAGGAGTAAAGCAGGGAAGGCCCGGATGCTGACAGACAAGTTCTCGGGGCCCAGATTCAACGTTGCGGAGGAGATGTGATTCCAGTTTGATAGCTCGTCCCGGAACCTTGAGTAATCAATAACATCGTATTGCCATGCAACATTGTTGAAGAACGATTCCACAAGGATATTAATGTGCTCCCTTTGTGGTATCTTCCTTACGAGTTTCACATAGTGAACTGCCGCATCATGGTTCCGTGGCCTTCCACCACGGGAGGCTGAGTCATGGCTCAATGCCCCGAGTTGGGAAACAATCTCAAGGGTCCCTTTGACATTGACAGAGTAACCGAGTCGTTTGGATAGCTCATGAGCAGTGACGGACGTCTCCTCTCCACCAGGCGTGTTGTCGGATGACGACTGGGATGGACTTGTTGACAGATCTGGGGCTGTTCTGGGTTGAGTTGCCAATTTCTCAGCACCCACGTATTTTTGCTCGGTATACTCATAACGGCAAAGTCCCTAAATTTTGTAAGTGTAGTTCAACACACTCGTGGGGGAAAGGGCCATACAGGCTTGCCTCGTCGAGAGCAATGAAAACACGGATGCTGTCGATCGCACTGGTGCTAATCAGACCAAGGTAAGCTACCTGCCAACCAAAAAGCTTACTTTCTGTTTGCGTCTGTGACATTCTGAACATGAGATCACCAGGCGCTTCTGCCTGTGCGATGGGCGGGCGCTGGAAGTATCAACTCCCCAGCTATACATCATGAAAAGCCTAGCTCAGCATGTGAAGAGAGTTGAGGGGTTGATCGACACATCGCTGGCGCTGAGGGGATTTGTATGAGGACCGATCCCTGTTTACATAATCGCAGCACAGGCCACTCGGCCAAACTTAAAGCCAGTCCCCCCTTCCGGTAATTGGTAAGGGAGACCGCGAGCGGCTTGCACAGGACGTCGGCAGCTTTGCCCGGATGGAAGGATTTTGCCATCGGCTGATCGGCTGGTTTTGCGCTTACTACAACAACTATCATCGTCCACAAAGTTCGGATACCGCGCGAAAGGGAAATTCCGGTAACATTAGTGGCGCCTATTGCTGCCGTTCAACGCCCCATGGCAACGCAATCTCTTATTTTTGGTGCCTTTGCTGATTGTTCACAGGATTATGAGTAGAAGCTTACGATGAACACGGTGCTAATACGTACTCTCACTATTTTAATTAAGTATCACGAGTTTGTCACCAATTTGAAGGTTTTGCCTGCATCATCAACTGCAGATGGCAAGATCAAGATCAGTTAGTTTAATTGAAGACTTAGACTCGTTGATTTACACCTTTGTCTGTCCAAACCAAGCCGCGATCTCACCAACGTTCCTATCCACAATATCCGGCTGCTCGTAGTGCTGGAAGTGCGAGATATCAGCGTCCCAAATCAGCTTCTTCTCCTTCGTCGGAATCGACTCATAATGTCTCTTGGCTGCAGCGGCATTCATGCAATTATCACCATGAATTACCAAAGCTGGCTTAGTGAGCTTGGACACACCATCGACCGTGGAATAGCCAAAATGGTCCAAATCGCTCATGACCGCATACCGATTCTCGAAACCCTTCAAGGTCCAGGGGCCATACCACGACCATACGATCGGTCCTGGAAGCCCGGCAAGAGAGCCAACGTTCGGGTCCGCAGCTTTGGGATCGACGAGAGGTTGGTAGATGACTTCCCCGGTCTTTTCGTACAGGGCTTTGGCCTCTTTGGCTCGTTTGATGCGCGCATCGTAGAGGGCTTCTCCTTGCTCAGGTGTAGGCATCTTCAAAGCTCCTACGTCAACACCTGGCTCGACATTGACACACCCCGAGCAGATCATCCAGATATCCGTTTCGCGGTCGCGGTAGTATCCCGTGACGGAAGCAACAGCGACAACGCGGTCGTCGTAGGACGCCACATCAAGACACTCGGGGCCTCCCTGACAGACGCCTACGAGGAATAGTCTCTTTGCATCCACGTCGCCCCTACCAGCGAGATAATCGAGACCGGAGACCACGTCTTCGTTCTTCATCACAGGGTTTTCCAAGCGGCGTGGCTGGCCGGTGCTCTCTCCGACAGTGCGTGGGTCGAAGATCAAGGCCGCGTAGCCTTCGTCAGCCAGTCGTGTGGCATACTGCAACGGAGCTTGCTCTTTGACAAACGAATAGGGGCCTAGGACCACGATTCCGGGCGGGTTGGTGATGCCTTGAGGCTTGTAGAGAACACCAGCGATAGTCTCTCCATGAGACGGGTAGGTAACCTTCTCAGTAGTGTAGCGGCCGTGGACACCCATTGTGATCTGTAAAGATGATGGATTGGTGAGATGGAGTATTTGAATAATAGAGTGGGAAATTGATGTGTAGATGCTTATGATTTTGCAACAGATAAGCTCTCTGCAGAATCAAGTGGTAAAGGTAGTTTTTATATGCGTATCTCAGAACTTCAAGGCCTGTATTCATGTTGCGTTACATGCCATGTTTCTGTGTTTTCGGCGAAGAGACCCACTATTCTCGGTGTCGGTATCCACTATTTTCGGCGATGGCTGATGAAAATCACCGACAGCCAAGCCTTGCTTGGTTGCATCCGTTGAGCTGATCGACGCTATGGGGATACGACGAGCCTATGTCCGAGACATTCGGTCCAGACAAACTGTGCTGGAGCGCTTAGTACAACTTTGCGCAACTGCTGTGAAAGGCTCAGCTGTTGAGGTTTCCATCGACCCGACGCAAATGGCGTTATGTGATGTAGGGCGGAACCTACTACTTTAGGTTGACAATTCCATAACGAGTAAGGCCACCTCTGTGCCATCTAGATAATCCTACCTAGCGAGAGCTGGATGAGGGCACTGCTTTTGTCAATGGTGATCAGCGAATACCTGATGTTCTCCATTTTTGAACATTTGCTGGGCTCATGGAGTCCGTGAATGTCTGTAGACAGGAACAGGCGATAGCCTGGAATTCTGTTCACTAATACGCTTCCGAATACTGGCACAAGCCAGACGATGAAGACCGTGGATGGGACTGATAAGGTGGCAACCGATGTGTCTGCCAAGAATACAATTAAGAAACACAGTATACATGCCTTACCAAGCTCGCGGCATTCACTCTTTGCTCAATCTTCAGACAACGACGCCTGCAATTTTCAACCACCAACCCCACCGCTAATTACCCGACCGCCGTAGTATGGCACGAATACACCACCGCGATAGCCTCCACCAACACCGCCAACTCGACACGCGCGTTTTCCAAAGCCATCGGATTCGAATTCTTGTAATGGAATATCGGCCGGGAACAGTTCGTGCCGCTTTTCGAAAGCGTCGGCGCTATCGTATACTTGTGCGTTCTTTAAGTCGACTTTCGAGCCGATGGCGTGTTCTTCTTGGCTGTTGAACATGTAATACGTTCCGGGAGTCGCTTGGCCGTCGCAGTTGGCTTCGGCTACAACTTTCTCTTGTACGTCGGCACAGTAAACCTTGCCAGCGCTGGCACCTTGTACAAATAGAAAAGCTGCCGCTGCAGCTCGTAGGCCGTTGAGATCTGTATGGTGTTTCATGATAGTCGGACTTGAATGCACGATGAAGACTTGATTTAGGACTGTCGGGACTCGTCGCGGCGTGCGAATTTCTTGAATGCGTGCTGCCCTTATTATATTTCGCTGCCAAGCTGCTCACGAGTTGACACTCGTAATAATGAGATGTGTGCAGACTGATACCCGGCGCTGTTCGTATTCAGCGATGTAATCTGCGACAAATAAACTATAACATAGACTGGACTCAATCATGCGCTCAGCTAAAGATGAGTTAAAAAGAAAAGACCTCTATGATTTCTACTCAACAGGATTTAATTTCGAATCTGGCGCTGAGTCAAGCCTAAAGAGCAATCAAGTAAGGTTCTGTCAGTGCCAAATCGCATGTAGGGATAGCGGGGAACAAGTACAGTGGTCTCACTGGTTCGTTATGGGATGTCGGGTTGCCCGCTCCCCTAAGATGTGCTAAGGCTATCAAAACCTACTACAAAGTACCTGGTTTCATGCACCGATGGTCTTCATTTCCCCGACTCAGTAGACCTGGGCAGCTTTAAGCAAAGTGACTTCCCTCTTCAAATATCCCCCTCTATCTCCCCGCGACGCTCACAATGGGGCGAACTACCATGAGGTTAATTATACGAGTCCATCAAACCTTGCGACCAGAGACATCGCAGTGCGTCGGTAGCCCTCCCGGACTCGCGGCGGAAAGATAAATACATTGGCATGTCCTAAATGACACCAGAGCCAAGTCCCACTTGCTTGTCATCTCTTTGTGATCACTCCTTCTGAGACACTTGTTCTCTTACATTCGTTGAAAATGCGCTTCTTTTGTTTGCTTCCACTCTTCGCTTCGGCGGCAATTGCTGCTGATCAAGGCAAAGGTTGCGGAACAGTAGATGCTATAGATTGTTCGGGGAATAATATTGTAAAGTGCTACACTTTTCCGGGGAGAAGTGGACTGACCTGGAACTATGTAAGTTTTTGTTTCTAAAACCTTCATCCACCAGAACTATTGGAGCTGACTTCAATCAAGGTCGACTCATGCGCGGACAGAGGACAAGTGTGTAGATCTGGCGCTTGCGACACAATTCCAATTAGTGCCAACCAAGGCAAGGGCTGCGATTTGAAGAACGCCTTTGGTTGTTCTGGGAACAACATTGTGCAGTGCTACACTTTCCCTGGCAGGAATGAAATGACCTGGAACTATGTGCGCAATCAGGCCTTCCATCGAATCGTTCCAGTTAAGCTAACTAGGCTTTGTAGTATCAATCATGTGCGGATAAAGGCCAAATTTGTAGCGGCAATGTTTGCCAAGCTTGCTAAATATCTTGCGATTGGGTAATTATTGCTTCAGGATATCAACATACTAGCGATCAACTTGTTGTGAAGAGAAAACATCAAACCAAGAGAGTATTGTCCATGATCCAATTCAGTCTACCAGCCTCGACCAGGCTTTGGCTTTCAATGCCTTGATGTTTCTTCGGATCATGCAGTCCTGTATCGGATGAAGACTACGTCCTCCTCCTTGGGCAATGTCCGACGAGGCTACGCGTCAGCTGATTACCTTAGGCTGGTTATCCTGTGTTCATGTTTTCGCCCAAGGGAGTTGAGTTGGATGGTTTCCTACGTGGCCTTGAAATTACAAATTCCCATACTGACCTTGACCCTCTGGCATCTAATGTCGTAATCGACGCTTCAAGACTTCCACCTGGACCGTCTTGTCCAAGAGATCGGCAAGGAACCTTCTAGGGTAGGCAGCGCGGTCGTAACCCCAGGAAAGTTCAGTTCCTTTTCACTGGAGACTTGGAACTTTGACCGAGCTTCGTTCGATTCTTGTCTCTCCTTGTAGAATCGTAAATCATCGAACTCAGAGGGAATATCGGAGAGTTCCACATCCGCGTTGATGGCGCCACTAGCAACTTCGTTTCTTGCACTTTTGGTGATGAAAAACCCATTAGAGAGTGTGACTGAGGCAGAAGGGTTGTGGTGGAAAGTTGCTGTGATGAAAGTGTTTATTAGACTAGGCTTGCGGTTCGAGGGGATGGCCTCGAGAAGGATGACGACTTACTCAGATCAGGAAAGCAAGAACTTTGTGCTTCCTTGACAAAGCTGCTCAATCTCTCCAAGTTGGAAGCAGGACGTCTATTGATTACATCTCCATGCTATTCGATAACCTCCTGCATTTCCAGAAGCAGTTCTAGCTTGTGTTGCGGGTGACTGGCTACCTGGGTCATACAGATATTGTACGATGGTCGTTGTGGTAGTGTGGATGCTTGCAGCGCACAAAGACATCTGATCATGATTCATCCATCTGAAGTCGTAAATTGTCGAGGTACCGGCCGTCGTCTTTGACGTAGTCCAAAACGCTCGGCGGATCAGACAGAGGTATGAGGTCATTGGCCTTTTTGTTGTTCATCTGCCTTACAACCACGTTCTCGCCATTTTCTGTACTGTTCGACAAGATCCGAAAAGTCTGAGAAGGCTGAGAGTTATTCGTACAAAACCAGGAAGGAAAGAGTGACATTGCTTTGCACCTACGGCGTAGACGATTTGACTAATGATAAACGTGCCCGCTATGTCAAGAAAGCGTTCATCTTCGGTAGCATCGCGACCAAGAAAGCCTTGGACGCTAAATGATGGCAGATCACATGTTGATAGTTACTCAAACCAAGTCGACGCAGCTGCTGAGGTTGCCTCTGGATCCATGTCGAAATCTCCAAGATTTGAGTTCTATGATGGATTAGCAGTCAATGATTAACATATGACCGCAATGAGTGAGTGTTCAGTGTGACTCGTGGGAGGGACTACTACGTTATCTGTCCGACAGGCATAATGATGTCGGAAGCCCAACTTATTGTTAAGATACAATTTGAAGGAAATCCTCGCGGCGTCAGTAGCCCGGCAGTGCACGTATCTCTAAAGATATCTTTTGGCGTTCAGGGAACGCGCATAATCGAATAATTCGAGCAAGACACAGAATTGCGACACTTAATTTTGTAGTTGAACCGCCCCATGAGATGATGGTTGTTCCTGGTGTCATTCCTGATGGTAGATGAGGAAGCATCGTCGAGCGCCCAACGCTGTCTTGGCGCGGGGTTTATGTCAGGCAATTAGGCGGTCCATGTTCGCCGACGCGTATTTACGAGGTTCTTCGGGTCAACACCGGTCACATTCATGGTGCAACCTTGACGGCCCAGGTCAGGTGGTACCTTGATAGATACAAAGTTGAGCGATGAAGACATGGAACAAGGGTAACTTGCATTAGCCTCGGGCATGTTGCAACCATACAATTCTTGCCTCGCTTCATTCAAGCGAACGCAGGATCGTAGGCTCCTATGAGCAGATTTCATTCGGCAAGAAACAAGCTGTGGCCACGTTCCCAGAAGTATGCAGTGCTGTCAACGTCTTAACTCATAGCTCACAAATTTGTTCATGATCAAGAGCTCTTCCAGGAAAGAGAGATTCTACATCAGGATTCCGACAGTACCACGATATATTCTGCAGGCTGCAAATCGGCCAAGCCAAGTGTAGGAGCTCACTTTATTCGGAATAAGGCCTGCAATCACCAGACTCATTTGGCAACAAAAGCTATCAAGATGATGGGTGCTTCAAGGATAATTGTAAGACTACTCAAGGAACGCAATGGTGAATGGTCTTCTCAGCAGTGAATTGTAAATAGGTGACGCCTCCGGGCATAATGTGTTCTATCTTGACCTGATTAACGTTTTCTTTCCTTCGCTGGACAAACCTTCTCGGTCTCGACCTGCATCTTTGACGCAGAAAGTTGAGTAATGATGGTTTCTATCCGGCTTAAAAGCTATCTTTTCTTAACTCTCGGTCATCACGCCTCGAGCCGAGCCGCGCCTCAGCACCAATGGCTAAGAAGAGCATCTACGGATCAGCGCCTGTTCCATCAATCCGACCCAAATGGCGCCTGGTTTGATCAAGTCGCAGCTCTGACGGAAGCTCCGAATCATCCAAGAACACCAATATCTCCATTGCCATTGTTGGAGCCGGTATTTCTGGTCTGGCTATAGGCCTAATGCTGGATAGTGTCGGCGTTCACAACTGGGAGCTCATCAAGGCTAGCGACCGCGTCGGAGGAAGATTCCGAACTATCTTCGTTGGCGATATATCCCGGCATACCATTGAAAGGAGCACAATACCATCTTTATTGGTGAGCACACAGCTCCGACTCATGCTTGGATCAGCTTGTCTCTGCACTCCTCTGTAAGAGGTTCAGTACAAGCTACTATTGGAGTTGGCATTGGTCAATAAAGCAAAAGAACTCAATGCAAAATGGATGGGTAAATGGATCAAACGAGGCAAATGGGTCTCATTTTTTGAGGGTTGCAAATGGTGTGGCCTGCGGCCCCCAGAGAATTACTTAGTGACCGCTCCGAGTGGGAGCCGGCAGTCCGATAAATCAGATGGTTCTTCACTGATTTCTCCTGATCAAGTTCGTCTGCCAAGGGCTTGCTAGCATTGAAACCGGATTTTGTCTACTTTCATGTTCCCTAGAATTCGTAAATTAGACTCATTCATAATCTTGAACAAGTTATATTTCTCAACGAGAACAGTGTTTGCTTTTGAAGTAACATATTCTCAACTGCTTGCTATCTTGGCCGCGACGGAGAGCTGTGGGCCTATTCCTACGTCGTGCGGCAAATCATCCGATTCTTGATGGCGTGCCAGCTCCAACCGACTAGGTATCTCCGCACCTTGATAGGCATGGATCAGCGATTTCGGAAGCATTAAAGTATATCGCTCCCCGCCTCTCGCAGCGTCGCGGCGCTCCGCATCTTCTGGGTTGACAGGAAAAGCAAGCGAGAAGCAGAGCATCATGTCTGAACCCAAATCAGTCGCCATCGTGGGCGGTACGTGCAGAACGCAGAGTGAGAATTTGCAAACAATTGATTGATTTCTGTCAGCTGGCATTTTTGGCCTCTCTTTGGCCGTTGCTCTGAGCAAACGTGGTAAGCGCGCCTTGCTACCATACCCGGATGTGGCCCTCGAGCTAATCCTCATTTCTCAGCGTACCGCGTAACAGTGTTGGACAGATACTGTTATGATGAGACGCACTATGAGCCCGACTTGAATGGAAATACGCAGGCTGCCTCGGTAGATCACAACAAGATCGTAAGTTTGGGGAGATTGAGTGTACATTCCAAGCTATGCTCATGTAATGTCTCCAGTTTCGAGCTTCTTACGGGAGCAAGCTTCATTACCAGCGTCTAGCATTTGAAAGTCGTGCTGCATGGGAGAAGATCAACGAGAAGAGGCACCAAGAAGATCATGAATCAGATCTCTTCAGCGGGAGTGGCATGCTCCGAGTTCAGCCCACCGCCGAACTCGATCCACTTGAGCGTGAGACACTGAGCAACTTTGAACGAGACGGCCTCAGAGATACTCAATTCGTCAAGAGCGACCCGACTGATCGAGCTCGAGCAGCTGAGCGTGGATGGGAAGGAAAGCTTCTGGATTTCGAAATTCCACAAGCCTTGCCTACTCAGACTTACGAAGCTGTTCTGGACTCAACTGCAGGATTCACAAAATGCAGCGAAGCCTGTGCCTATTTCTACAAGTTGGCTCTCAAACAGGGCGTTGAGTTTCACTTTGGCCCCGGGAAAGGTACCTTTGACAGTATTATCGAAGAAGTTGACTCACCATCACACCTGAAGAAGGCAGTCGGGGTCAAGACCAAAGACGGAGTCCTTCATAAAGCGGACGTGGTTGCCATTTGCGGTATGCATACTCTCCTTTACCACTACCTGCGAGGTTGCGCGACTAATAGTCAACAGCTGGATCCTTCTCAACGCAGCTATTGCCTGATTTGTCCTACCACCTTGAGTCGTCTGCAGGAAGCGTAGTCACCTTCAAGGTGGACAAGAACAGCGCAGATTTGTGGGACAAGTACTCCCCTGAACGCTTCCCGGTCATCACTTGGAAAAGTGCACCACGCAATCCGAGCGGTAAAGACACCGGCAGTGTTTACGTTTTTCCTCGGACTGCCGATGGTCTCATCAAAATCGGGTTCCGAGGCATCAAGGTACTTATGCGTCGTCGTGTTCGCTCGTATCAGGCTAACAAGACAACCCCCAGTTTACCAACTTCCAACATGCGCCTTCAGAGGCGGGCTTCACTCAGGACGGCCAGTGGAGCGTGCCTCTCCCGCCCGCTGATTGCAGCATAGTCCCAGACCCTGCGAGGGAGGCCATTCGAAAGTTCGTCTCCATCTTCCTCCCGGAGTTCGCCGACAAGGACTTCAATTCGACTAAGCTATGCTGGTACACCGACTCATTGGACAACTCTTTCGTTGTGAGTCAGCTCTTACCTGTTTTAAACCTTTTCACTTACTGATCATTTCAGATCGACCATGTGCCTACTTATTCCGAAGGATCTGTCTTCGTCGCGACTGGAGGCAGTGGACACGGTGCCAAGTTCCTTCCCGTGCTTGGCGAGGTGGGTATCAAAAGCTTCGACTCTTCTTGGCGTATCGTCTGACAATGTTTACAGCACGCAGCCGACATTTTGATGCATGGTGATCAGAGTACTTCCTTCATGAGGCAGCACTGGCGCTGGAGGGACAACATTCGCAGGGGCAACGGCCTAGAGGAGGGCCCTGAGGGTCCGAGAAATATTGGAGGATCAAAGGAGGCTTAGCCATTAGGATCGCATGCGACTGTGCCTATTCTCGCAAGTCCAACTACTAATTTGATTACTGTCAATCCTTGAATACAAAAATCAAGGATTCTGTTGGTCTTGAGGATGCACGCCATACTTACTTCTAAGGGTTTGGGAATTTAATTCACAAAGCGAATGATCGACGAGCCGTATTACTCGATCCTTTCTCAGGTATCAGTGACCGACATTACATTCCTATGAGACGCGTCAGTTCCCACTAACCAAGGCCACAATGCTTCGGGCCGTCGCCAAGAAGGCTTGTTCTCCGAGAGCCAAGAGTCTGACATGGGTATTACGACCTGAAAGTATGATATGTTACGTCTTCACAGGGGTGAATTTGTCGGTTGCACAGAGATCTGCGCAAGACGCAGGGGCTGTGAGCAACCTTGATGTCCTCGCTTTCGCCCCTTGCCTTTCTCACGCATTACCAAAGCAGCTCATTGGTGTCGTCTTCATCTGCTGCTTATTTTTGCCATTTGCCTGTTTAGGATCAAAAGCCTCATCTTGATTTCACCGGTGTCAGTCCAGCCGGTCAGGGACGATTCCAATCCTGGTCCCAGGCTACCTCTATGGTTGATGCTCTGGAAATACAGACTTGGAAAATCAGAAGAGCCAACGCCAAGACAATCGGTTGATAATGGATGAATCGATGAGGATCTGGGGCTTCTAGGATGATATTTAAGCCGTCCAAGACTCAGTCCTCTTCCGAAAGCTTCTGAATCTGGATTGTTTGACTCTTAACAGCACATTCTGTTGCGAGCATTATTTAACTCGATCGGTTGCGAAATCGAAGCCTTAAAATGTCGAGCGAAACAGATTTCGAGAAAAAGGTCGTTGAGAGCGAACCTATCTCTCATTCCCCACCTGATCACACACCTATCGTAACTGGAAAAGCGACGTCTCCAGGAACGCCTGCGGGACAACGACAGCAACATGCCGTCACCAAAGGCGAAGTCGACGATACAACAGTCTTCTACAATCTCAACAAAGACAAGGTCGGAATTCTGTCACCTGAGGTTGAGAAGCGACTTGTTCGAAAGAACTTTTGGTTTCTTCTAGGACAGACATGGTGGATCGCCTTCCTCATCCATTTGGATAAGTCGACTCTGTCGCAAGCCAGTACGATGGGCATTTTCAAGGATGTCGAGATGACCAAAAAGCAGTACAACGATCTTTTTGTGGTGTTCTATACTGGCTACCTCATCGCCCTCTGGCCTGGTGCTTGGTTATCTCAGCGGACTGGTCAAAAGCAATTCATCGTCGGCTCCTTACTACTTTGGGCCTTCTTGCTCGGCATGCACCCGCTTGCAAAGACGGGCAAGGAGCTTATGGCCCTCAGATTCATCCTAGGCATGGTATGTGGGCTTCTATATATTTCCACGATGTGAACTTTATCTTCTGACCTTTACAAAATGTTCAGACCGAGTCCCAGATCGTTCCGAGTACCACAATCCTTCACCAGGCATTCTTCCCTCCCAAGAAGAGTCCATGGGTCCAACTTCTATGGTGGGCTTCTGGAAGCTTGGCTAACGTCTTGCTTACCATGGTTGCCTACAAGCTTATTCTCCTCGATGATAGTCACGCTCTTGTTGGTGGGTTGTCATCATGGAAATGGCTGCATATCATCTGTGTCATTCTTACGTTCATCGTCTGCGTGCCTCTCGTGTTCTTCTTGCCCAACTCTCCGGTGGAAGCAAAGTGGCTTTCAACAGAAGAGAAGATACACACCATCTCAGCCATTCGCGAAGCCCAATCTGGCATCAAAAACTCTTCCTGGAAGTGGTCGCATGTTCGTGAGGCTTTCTCAGATCCCAAGAGTTGGCTATTCATGTTGGTCTCCTCGCGAAATCGGTACCTCTAAAATCTCTGAACAGTCTAACGCTGCGATAGTTTTCACATGTTCTTCAACGAACTTCCGAACAACACATCGCAGCAACTGCCGCTGATCATCGTCGGGTTTGGATTTACAGCCGCTGAAAGCGCTTTATTCAACATTGCCAAGCCTCTCATCGGCTCACTCCTTATCCTTGTTTCAGCTGCTATGCTCTATGGAACTCGACTAGGCACCGGCTACACGTGTGCGATCTCTTACATACCATGCTTTGTTGGGGGTATTATCGAGGTGAGCTTCCTATGCCGCGAGGCCATTCTAGTACTGAACCTTTTCAGCTGGCATCGCCCTGGTCCAACAAAATCGCTCTCGTCGTTGGCACACAGATTTCTACCTTCAAGCCCTCTTATCTTCTCGGTCTGTCTTGGGCTGGGACGGCAACAACCGGCTACACTAAGAAGCTAACAGTGATGTCCACATGTGTTGTTGCCGCAGCAGTCGCAAACATGATCTCCCCTGAGTAAGCTCTCTCCGCGGCCGCCATGCTTGGTTCATTGACTGATGCGCTTTCTCAGATTCTGGCAGCCCAAGTACAAGCCGCGCTACCGACTTCCCTGGGCCTTCATGACTGCCTTCTGGTTCATTTCTCCAGCAATGTGCCTGATCATCCGATGGTATCTGATCCGCGAGAATCGTCGGCGTCAGCTGATCTTGGAGAACGACGAAAGCCGTGAGGAGCATGAAGTTCTGGACACGGGCGAGGAAGTCATCCAGGTCCACAACGAAGATCTTGATCTGACTGATCGTCAGAATCTCAAGTTTATCTACCCCTTGTAGACCTGCGATGGGGATTTGACGCAAAAAAGAAGGGGAACTCTGGGAAACTCTGGGGCTACGACAAATGGTGCCCTCGAAATTGAAGGTCTTTGAGGCGCACACGTACCACGTCAACCAGAAGTTCCACATCGAAGACAATGGAGTTCCTCTTTGTTCCCATTCCCTCCCTTTACGTTGAGATTCCCATCGTCTGCCCACCTCGACCAATTCAGGAAAGGTGAAAGACAGCACTTTACTTTGTTGTCTTGGGAGAGTCGGGTGGCGGCGGTATCGCACGAAAAGTTGACTACTGAGGCACTCGACCCAGTAGCTGGATTTAGCTAAATGATTCAGGGTGATACATACTCATGACGACTTCCGTGGAGAGCGGTGTCTTCTGGTTGCATACGTATTCTCCACGGGAGAATCCCTTTATCAACTGTAGTTCCTGTATCCTGAACTCATCAGTCACAAGTCGGCTCAATGAGTTTCAAAGTCAATAAGTATGCTGCAGCGATCGAGGCTACGTGTCTTTCTTTGCCATCTAACGCAACGACGTCCCCAATACGCGAGGTCTGGGGGCAAAATGCCTCCACAACCTCTAATATTGCTAGAAAGTGCGGGATAAAACCGTTTTCACCCCTTGTACATGTCATGTGCGATTGACGAGATCGCGGGTCGTATTCGATTGCCCTCGAGTCTCGACTCTCAGGGAGCTCGGACTTCGGCGCCGCCGGCCGAGTGCTGCAGAGATTCCCCTCATTGTAACCCTCACAGTTCTTCCCCGTGGGGTATGCCTCAGCCATTCTGACTGGTCAGTCAACATCTTTTGGTACAGATTTCCATCACAGCCCCTCTCGTCCTCGTTCATAGTCCCTCACCAACTTCGGCGCCGAGGCCGAAAGAGGTCCCAGATACTCGGTCGAGTTGATACTTTCTTCGATGAAGAGATGGATCCATGTCCCGATCAGCGGATGAAGATGCCGGCAAATGAGTCTGGCAGCTCCACATGCAGTGACGATGGCAAAGTACCGCCGCCGCCCTGGCGCGTTGTCATATCTTTAAAAGATGCACATGGTCTTTCAAGGTGTTCCAGACCGACTGTCCGTAGAGAACAACGGGACAGTAAATTCATAATTGGCATCATGCTATCCGCAATGACTTTGGCGTTATGGCTTCTGCCTACTACGAGCGTGGCAAAGGCGAATTTTAGCACACAATGCGACTCATTACCGAGCTTGATCGCATCTCTCGCTAGCAACATCGGAGTAATTACGACAAGTTCCATACCGACTCACTCGCTCAACGTATCTGGAACTTTCAACCAAGTCGCATTCTGTCGTGTCAACGGCAGCGTTCCATACCCGGAAAACAATAATGTCTTTTTCGAAGTCTGGCTTCCAGAAAGCATCGCGTATAATGACAGGTTCCTAGCTGTCGGTAGGTTGCAAGATCATTCAGTAGATCCGGGATCTTAGTTAATAAGTGGACAGGGAATGGCGGCTTGGCTGGCCGAATCGACTATGCCTCAATGCTAGAAAATGTCAACAAGGGCTTCGCAACTTCGGGAGGGGACAGCGGTCATCTTGCTTCAGATAATAACGACGGCGATGCATACCCAGGTGGCATCTACTTGCCGTTCCTTCACGACCAGAATCAAGTCCTTGCATGGATCCGCAATTCTATCGCGCTCTTCACGCCTGTAGCGAAAGAAATCGCAACGTTTTACTATGAAAAGTCTCCGCAACATACCTATTACAAGGGATGTTCGACCGGTGGAGCCCAAGGCTTTGCACTTGCTCAGTATCACCCTCAGCTATTCGACGGCATTGTTGCCGGCTGTCCGGGTAATTGGTACTCGCATCTGGCGCTGTCCTTTCTGTGGAACCAGCAGGTGACTCTGGTAAGTTCATGCTGTTCTAAGTCTATGCCTGCTCTTGAAGGGCATGATGTTATATCTCTCAGCCCAGGATGAAATTCAGTAGTTACTGCTAACACCTGTCAGGGTGCTTCGTTCTTGCCACAAAAATCACTCGACTTGATCGCAAATGCCGTGTTAGACAAGTGCGACACGCTAGACGGTGTTGAGGACCGAGTCCTCGAGAATCCACTTGCATGCACATTTGACTTGGACAAGCTCGCTTGCACGACGCCCGCTACTAACTCGTCACATTGTTTGACATCTGAACAACTCACAGCTGCCAAGAATATATACGCGGGACCCCGTCATTCCCTGAGCAATACCAGCATCTACCCTGGGTTTGGTCTGGGCAGTGAGTCGGAATGGATGATGCAGGAGGGTCGTTTGTCCCTTTCGTTCTCTCTTCCTCTCCTGCAAAACATGGTATTCGACGACTTGAATTACAATGGCAGCACATTCGACTGGGCTAGCGATGTGGATGCGCTGGATCTCAAGGTTGGAAGCTTAATTGACTCCGTCAGTCCCAACCTGACTTCCTTCAAGGACAGGGGAGGAAAGCTTCTTGTAACGCAAGGATGGGCCGACCCTTTCAATGCGGCAACCTGGCCCATTGATCATTTGAATGAGATCAGTCAGGTGACAGGTGGCGATCGAGATGAGTGGTTATCTTTATTTATGGTTCCAGGTAAGTTGAGATTGGTAGCCGCCATTATGTGGCTTTCCTTGAGCGCGCGATTAATGAGGTTCTTTATGTAGGTGGTGGCCATTGCGGAGGTGCCTCGAGTTATACTCACGTTCCCGGGAAACAAAACTCCCTCGAAGCCTTAGTCGAGTGGGTGGAGCAGAAGAAGGATCCTGAAGCCCTTTTGGGAACATCGCCCGCAGATGGAAGCGATAGAACCAAAAGGCTATGCCGATGGCCTCGTACGGCCAAGCTTGTAGGGTCAGATGTTGACAGTTGGGAGTCATTTGTTTGCGAATAAAACCCTGGTGCGTCAAGCGGTTTCTAGATTGAGCTGCATGCTCTGAATACCTTATAGAGTCCCTATGAGGATGCTAGCGGCTTGGATGCAACGATTGGAAATCGCCAAAGTTGGCAGCGCCATCTCAAGTGATCTGGGGTTCTTCTCTGTTTCCAGATGCTTTGGGAGTATGCTCTACTGCATTCTCAATGCCAACCATCAAGCTGATCACAATTAGCCAAAGAATCTAGCGGCTTAAGCAGGAACAAAACTTTACATCGCATGCCGAAACTAGAAAAACATGTGGTCTCAACTAAAATGCTACATTGACTAATTCTGACATAATAAGCGCTGGAAAACAATATATGGTGGCCTGGCACCGCTACCCTGTCGCACTCGGCATGGCCTTGAAGGGATTAAAACATTGGTCACGTATTAGAACAGCCATGTCGTCAAATCACAACTGCTACTAAATCTGCTAGAGGCATTAGGTGGTTCGATTTCAAGCCCCAGGTTTCACCTATAGAGCGGATCATGCCGACTCCTTACTTTGTGGATAGGTGCCGAGGATTGACGAGCCTTTACGAATAGTCCGAACCGTTCGCGACTTTTAACGGCTTTCCCTAAGTCCCCGCTAACATCAGATACTTAGGGTCTTCCGAGCACTTTAGCCGCTTTTAACAGCCCTGGAGCGGCTTCCATCCTGCGTCTCTCCCGCAGAGCCCTCCGTCCTCTGTGAACTTCTCAGCCGTGCCACCCGTTTCCGTATTCGAGGCTCTGGCATAGAAGCGGACCTATCACTGGGCTTAGTTCCAAATGAAAGGTCCTCGCTTGGTCAGACACGCCTTGTAAGATCCTATCGACTCCCGTTAACAAACCATCATCTGTGTTTCCCACTCCCCGAACTTCAGGCTGTTCCGAGGCGCGAGAGGTTCGCATGCGCGATGACTCTTTTCCGCATCAACTAAGGGTTACATTCATTAAATTATTTGAGCTTCAAACGTTTCATAAGGGTCAAAGAATTTGATCAAGAAATTTGATCGCTATGGTTTGAGATACGAGCCCGATTTTCAACTCAAAGGTCAACGCCGTGGCCCATCATAAATGTACTCCGTTTACCATTCGCGCCCAGCAACTCCAATCGCATGACCGGATATTATGATTCAATTTGCAGATTCGATGATACATGAGCTAGCGCTCGGTTCCGGGCAGGAGACTTCCCTCGTTTATCTGGAGTCTCTAGAACTTTTAGCTTGCGTACAATACATATCATCTGGCATCAACTCCAATAGATGCTTGTCGCCGTCAAGTTGCTCTAGATGACGGAGGAAAATACAGCAAGGCGCTGAAAGTAGCCGCCATTCGCTTGCCATTTGTGTATCGAGGTACGGTATATGACCCTCTTCCAATCGCAAGGATCAGAAGCATAGGACGGGAATGGCCACCTAGGTATTTTAGGGGGCGTCACCAAGAATTCTGTCCAGGCCTAATTTCTGGATGGGAAGTGGACTCCATAACGTCCCTTCCAGCTCGTCAGTGACCGTAGCACTGTCTCTGAACCTTTGGGGATTGAATCACTGGGGGCTTGGCCATTATGTTATCGCCAGGGTCACATCAAAGCTGCGATGAAACTTTTTTTCCAAGTTTACAGTCCTGCGCGTTCTGGACGCAGCGATAGTGGTTTCCATGTCATCCTACAAAGTGAATCCTATGGGCGCTTGCTGATTTCCGCCGTTCTCGTGTGTCCGATGACGAAGTGACTGAATCACAAGTCCCTTCGCCAGTGCTATAGATGCAATCTCAACCAACCCATGTTGAAGGCCACACCGGCGCTCAGGGGTTTCCCTCGCTTTCTCCACAAAATCGATCCCGAGCAGGTCGTTTATGCTTACCGTAGCGTGTTTGGAGGATTTTGCTAGAGCTTTTGTCTAAAGCAGGGATTTCATCCGAGCTCTAGCGTTTGCCGCTTTCTGTTGGCAATCTAAACCGAACTCTTGGCTCGGAATGGGCGCCTACATCCTGCTGCTAAGCTCCACAAGCATGTCTAGGCTCAACTTCGTAAACCAACTTTTGATTTACTTGTGCGTGTGTGTGTGCTATGGTCAACACTTCTACTCAACATTATATAAGGCATGTGCTGATCGCATCTACAGGCTTCTCAATCCAGCTCAGCACACCAACGTGACTATCCTATCATTCTTCTTCTTACTCTCTCTTTATCATTCACTCTTTACCTGACTTGAAGTCATTCCATTCTTTTCCGCGTATCTCCAATCGCAAATATGAAGGCCACTGTTATTCTCTCCGCCGTCCTTGGCTTGGTCTCCTCGGCCTCTGCTCACTACACGTTTGACAAGCTCCTCGTCAACGGTGCTCAACAGGGTGGTGACAACACCTACATCCGCAAGCATCAAAACAGCTACATGCCCACCAAGTTCAAAAATATCCCTTCGGGCTCTATTTCGCCGACTGATGCCGATTTCTCTTGCAATAAGGGGGCCACTGCGGCCGCAAAGGTCTTCACCGTCAAGGCTGGCGACAAGGTTGGCCTCAAGCAGGCCTTCGGTGGCACCGGCATGCTTCACCCCGGCCCCACCCAGGTCTACATGAGTCCGGTCAGCAATGCCGCCTCCGATAAGGGCACCGGGACCTGGTATAAGGTCTCCCAGTCCCTGCTCTGCAAGGCCGGCAACGCCGAGTCTCTCCGTACTGGCGCGTGGTGCAGCTACGGCGAGGACAACGTCCACTTCACCGTCCCTTCGACCATCCCTAACGGCCAGTACCTCGTCCGTGGCGAGCACATTGGTCTTCACGGCGCTCACAACGGTGAGGCTGAGTTCTACTATGCCTGCGCCCAGCTTGAGGTTACTGGAAACACTGCTACGACCATGCCTGGCACTGGTGCCAAGATTCCCGGCGTCTACAAGCAAGCTGATGCGGCCGTTAACTTCAGTCTTTGGGGCAGCTCAACCTCCTACAACACCATCCCTGGCCCCGATGTTATCCCTGGCGGCACCACCCGCGGCAGCGCCGACGGATCTTCTGGCGATAATTCCGTTACCGTCGCTGGACCCAGCTCCGCCTCGTCGGATGTTGGCGCCAAGGCCGACTGCTGAGCGACAGCGTTGACTCAATAGTCAAGCGTCGGGCGACACAACCATCAAAAACGTTTTTGGCTTTTGAGGTGTCGTGATAGCCGAATGACTCTCCGGTCCATCACATGGAGGAGCTAGAGGCCACCCTTCTTGAGGACTCCTCCGGAGTGTACGTATTTTATTCCATGCATTCATATATCCAGTACATACTTGGCAGTCGGTGATTGCGGGTAAATAAAAAGAATCGAATTGCATTCGTCAATCTAAGCTCCATTTCTTCCTGAGGATGCCATCGATGCTCTTATCATCACATTGGTATTAAACCCCAATGCGTAATGTCCGGACCAATTGAGGTCCTCATCGACAAGAGTTTTCCGCGCAGAACCGAATTCTCAGGCTTTGTTGTGAGACGCATGAGTGGTCTGACTCTGCATGTATTGAGTGGAAGCCTGGTGAATCACTTGATTTGTTTCTATGAGTGAACTGCCGCATTGGTGAAAATTAAGTCAGCCACAGTCTGGGCGCATGCGAGTTGCTAGGTTTATTTCAATATTGTTTTCTGGTGTTGCCTGTGGTTGGTCCAAAATGACTTGGTGGCGTCAAGTCCGCGGCAAGAGATCTTGGCGGGGAAATGACTTGATTCAAACATTTCTCGACTCGCATTTCACTTTTAGTCCTTCGGATTTCAACGACGACGATTGAGACTCTGCGACTTGCTTCGTGAAGACGACCACTAACGTACGACATGGCAGCTGCGCCAGGGCGTACTGCCCACCAACCTACCGCAAGGGAACTCGTGGAAGGGATTGCCGAGGAGCATGGCATTGTTTCTGAGAGCGACTTGACGGAGATTGGAGCCATGAATCAACGCATTCGATCAGTCGTAGAAAAGGCTCTATTACAGAAAGATCAACTGATCGGTTCCTCGATTTTGACGTATGCTACAACCGCTCATCAATTAGGTCTGCTCAGTTGCAACTTCGACAGCTGCTAATCGTGACTGAAGCTTGGCAAAGAATCTCAACACTAGTCATGCCCGCTTTGTCTTCGAACTTCTTCAAAACGCCGATGATAATAAGTTCGTTGCAGCAAACAGTCGGGGTGTTGAGCCTTTTGTAAAGTTTAGTGTGTACCGAGAACGTATCAAAATTGAGTGCAACGAGGATGGTTTCACCTATCACGACCTCAAAGCCATCTGTGCGATTGGCCAGAGCTCAAAGAATCGCAGTCATGGTTACATCGGGGAAAAAGGTATCGGCTTCAAATCCGTCTTCATGGCTGCCTACAAAGTCAACATACTCTCGAACGACTTTTCCTTCAGCTTCACCCATCGGAAGGGCGACAGCGGGTTGGGAATGGTTACCCCTATCTGGGAACCAGACTTTATCCCGCAGTGTGAACAAGCTTCAAGTTCCATCACACTTCATCTTCATCAGTACGATGACACTTCTCTCTCAGAGGCGGCGCGGCAGAGGGAGGAAATTAACAGAGAGTTCGAAAACCTTCCAATCACCGTTTTGCTTTTTCTGAGGAATCTGCGACGCATCGAAATCCAGTTTCACGACGACAATGACACGGAAACAAAACGAGTGGAGTATTCCTTCTCAACTTCAAGTTCGAGCACTCTCATAGAGAGAGTATGGCTATCCGACCGTGAGTCTTCTTCTGGCGAGACTGTCCAAAGAAAGCATCACGTCACACGTCAAGTGATTCAAGATGCTCCTCCAAACGAAAATAGGGAGCTTTCTGAAGGCAATGGCCGTGCGGATGCTGAGACTGAAGTTATCCTGGCTTTCCCACTTACCGATGACTACACCCCCATCATTGATAACCAGCCAGTTTTCGCGTTCCTTCCAATGATGCCCTTGGGCTTCAAGGTAAGTAGGCCTTTGCAGCACAGAATTTTCCATCCACAACATTGCTTCAAGCCTGTGCTGATTTACAAGCAGTTCATCATCCAAGCTGATTTCGTCACCAACTCGTCTCGCGAAGGAATTGTGATTTCATCTGCACGTAACTTGGCAATCAGAAATGGTATCGCGACTTGTTTCCTCAAAGCCGTGGAGGAGATGTGCCAACATCCCATGTTGCAATTTCAATGGATGAGGTGGCTTCCACAGAGACATTCATACCCTTGGGATAGCTTCTGGAGTGGCTTGCTCGAAGACATTGTAAGCCGTATCAAGACGAGCAAGATTCTTCGCACAAGGGGGAGCGGTCACCTGGGCGGCATTCACTCGCTGCGTCGCCTACAGTCCAATTGGCTCGACGAAGCTGGGACTCCTTTATTTGACGACCTTGATGCTGAGATCTATGTTGCCGAAGAATACCAGGTCAAGGATCTAAGCTTGCTAGAGCCGTACGGTCTAAAATGGCTGTCTGCAGACGACAGACTAGCTCGGATCGAATATGACCTTGGCCAACCGATCGATAAATCAAGAATGAAGAATCTATCCACCAGTCCTCAGTGGCATTCACGAGCTGCCAGTATGATTCAGAGACTCGTGGCTACGGCATCCTCACAGGGCTTAGCGAGGATTCGGACTTTGGACATCATACCTCTGAGAGATGGCAGTTGGACCTCGATTAATCGCAACAAGCGACCCATTTACTTCCCCTACAGTGGGGATGATCTCGAAATCCCCGCAGACCTTCCTTTGTCTCTCGTCAGTCCTGAGGCATCTGCTGTGGACGATCGATACAAGCTCTTTGAACTGCTTGGTGTTCAAACAGCAACGGTTGAAGAGATCCAACAACTAATCTTTGAGGCTCCAATACCGATCCTTAAGACCGAGGCAACTCTGCTGGCATCTGTCAGTAATTTGAAGTTTTTATATTCGTCTCATCACGACACTTCTCATGACGTAGAGAGCTCGACCGCAATCGCCAATCTCTTTGTCTTTGATCACACAATGGAGGTTCAACTACCTCATCGCCAAGATATTTACCTGGCAACAAGCGGCCCCTACGAGCCTCGCCGTCTTTTGCAGCCTACGGCAACTCATCCAGACGGGTGCTTTGTGTCATTTCTTCACGATCAGTATTCCGAATGTCCTCCAGAGACACCGGCAGGGTTGGAGCAGACATGGTCTGATTGGCTTCAGCGCGTCCTGCAAGTACGCCGTCGTTTGAGACTAACCTCTTCTACATCTCCGGAAAGTCTTTCTCCCGAGCTCAACTACGTCCGCCTTTTTCGTCCCGAAAGCTTCATCGAAGCACTTCAACATCATTGGATGCTGCTGAATCATGATGACTCGAGTACCCCGAAGTTCCTTCGCAACCTTCGAGACCTCAACATCACATGCAAGGACGGCAGGGACTACCCACTCGCAGAGACAACTTTGCCACTGTTAGAGCTCCAGGCTGTTGTTTCCTCCTACCTTGGAGATTCGACAATCAGCTTCCTTCAAATCGATGAAGCCGCTCATTCTGTTTCATATCATTCAAAATGGGGCTTCTTAGTCAACGAGCTTGGTGTTCGAGCTCGAGATGACGTGAATTTGTATTTGTCAATTCTTGAAAAGGTCATTGAAAGTCAGCCACAACTAGGGAACTACAGGAAGATTTTGGGTCTTTACGAAATGATACAGCTTCGGTATGAGGAGTCTGCATCCAAAGACCAAGTTGCCACAGTTGTGAGGTAAGGAGCTACGCCCCAGCATGCAAAGAAGTTGACAAGCGACAAGTGACTGATGAGGAGTAGAAACTTTTGCCGTCAGAGACATTGCATCTTAGTTCCCATATACAATAATCAAGGAGAACAAAGAAGGGCCACTCTTGGAATCACTGCAGCCGAGGACAGCACACTGACCTGGAGAAGGCCGGATACCTGTGTCTGGGCAGCCCCAGGTGTCCCATATGCTTACACCGCTCTTGAGGGGCAACTCACGAATGATTGCTCCGAAGATCAAGCGGCTTCTCTGGAAAGGTTTATGAAATTGACCCTGGGAGTAGGAGACTGGGACGAAGACTGCTGCATACAGGAACTAAAGCACATGAAGGGTGCGAATCGCGATGATTTTGACTGGGTTGTGGAGATTTACGACTTTCTTCACAACTGTGACATGTTGGAAAGTCAATTGAAGGACTTCAGGTATGTTTCATAGCTTATTTACAACGAGAAATTTCTGACTTTCTCAAATTTAGGATCCTTTTCAGGACAACGCCCCTCATATTCGTTCCCAATGGCGAGACGTTCAGATGGTGTACAACAGCCGAGTGCTTATGGTCAAGCGGGGCTAAGATTCAGGGACGAACGACTCTCAGCTCCATCTACGAAGACTTGGAAGACTTCTTCGTCGAAACACTCGGGGTACAAAGACTAACTCTTGCAATGGCATGCGATGAGCTTCTGAAGAAGGGGACTGAGCAAACAGCCGCCACCATTGCCGAAGTTAAAGAAACAATATGGGCGGTGAACACCCTTCTTCAGACTGCAACGTTGTACCCTGACCCAGAGCAGTTACTGGAGAGTGCCATATTTCCCGTTGAATATCCAAATGGGCAGGTCTGTCTCGAGACTTTTCGCACACATTTCGTTATTAGGGACCGCAAACCCTTAGCCGCGATATTTGCTTCTAAAGTCAAGTTTCTGGACTTTTCTCTTGATGAAGTTCATAGGCTCAGTAACTTCTTTTCTTGGTTAGGTTTGGATTCCCGATATCTCTCCTCTTCCGTAAAGGAAATCTCTACTGTTGCCAGCGATTCTCAAATCAGAGTGCAACGTCCTGATAGAGATATTAGAAGGAGAGCAGGTGGAATCTCTAGGTATTTAATAACAGACTTCCCTGCCTGAATTCTCATTCAGGTGGTTCTCAAGCTGGAAGTTTCACTGACCTGATAACGACACTAGGGTTGCGTCTCACTTCAACAGTCCTCGTTCGGACGACGTCCATGGTCTATATCACACACTCCGTGCCACCGAAGTATTCGAAACGCATGGAATCTCATCTGAGATTCACCTTGTTCAGGATGGTAAAGCACACATCCATGCCAAGTCATCAAGCGAGCTTCACATCCGAGAGGCGGCTGGCCGCTTACAGATATACGTCCCTCTGAGCAAAGAGAGGCAGGATTTCTGTTATCACTCGAGTCTTCCAAGGCGTCTTCTGGAGTGGGTCATGACAGAACCCGAGACACAAATTTGTGGTGCAATACCACACCGAGCCATCAGTGCAATGAGCTCAGCTCTCAACGCACCGATCCAAAGCGTGTCACAGATCCTAGAGGCAGAAGGGATTATTGACTTGGGCGGTATTAATGAAGACGATCAAGGCCAAGAGTTCGAAGAGAGATCTGATGCCTCGCCTCCACCGGTGGCAGACTCTCAACGCCAAGGTTTCGCGGCTGAGATGCCCATAAGACCCTTCTCTTTGACGGGGCCCCGTTTCGTTTCAGGACCTGCTGTTACTCATCCTACATTTACGCAGCAGACAAGTACTCCCGCTTCACCTGATAGCAACAGAAGTTATCGCTTGCAGCCGAACTCACCTGTCGATGCAGCCGCCGCAAGCCTACCACCAGACATCTTTCATTTTGGGGAAACTTCCACGACACCCACTGCTACGGCCTTGCCTAGATTCGATGCGTTCAGCGCAGAGTATCTGAGAATACTCAACAACGTCATCTTTTCTGCGCGGCGTAGATCTTTTCCTGACCTTGGTCCTACAAGAACAGGACAGTCAGCAGAATGTGTCTCGACTCCTACTTCCAGTCCGTGGATACCTCCAGGAAGTGACAAGAAGATCGGCGCCGCCGGCGAGCTCTTTGTGAGTACAGATAATCTAAAACGTGTCTACTTTCTTTGACACAGTCCTCGATGACTACTCGAGACTCTTTACTCATTGGCTTCTTCCAGGTTTATGAACTGCTCTCGCATCTCAAACCTCCACTTCCAGGCTTTGGCATGGACGATTGGCAAAGTACGATGCGAAAACATGTGGCAGTTCATCCCGAATACTCCTACGTGACTCCTTGGGAAGGTCAAGAGACTGCCGACATCGTCTACGACGACAGGTTTGGAGTTCTAACTGAGATTCTTATCGGAAAGGGGTATTTGGAGCGGACCAAGTGGATCGGCAAGAAGCCTCAATACTTAATCGAAGTTAAGACCACGCCCGGAGATGCTGCAAGGCCGTTCTTTGTAAGCAAGTATCAGTACAACAGGGTAGGGCTTCAAAAACTTTCGCAATGGATGCATCGTTCAATTTGGCTGACCAACGTTTTATGGAAATGCATAGATGAGGTCTTGCACAGATGCGTCAACGTCCCCGGGAGGATCTTGCACAGTTTACATGCTGCTTCGAGTCTTCAACCTTACTACGTCGGACATCGATTTCAACGTCTACATGGACCCGTATGCTTTACAGCAGGACGGCACACTGATCTTCACGTAACATACTTGGCAGGTGGTCCCAATGCAAGGCAATAGAGCTGCTTGATAACTTTGAGTTTCCTGGTGTTTGGAGTGTCTGAGGCTAGAGTTCGTAATTGACAGGGTCTGATTGAGAGCATTGCTGATGCCTTGCTTTGGTCGCCCCCGTCTTCTATCAACCAGATAGTTTACTAGATTTTACTAGCCACTTCTCGCATTCAGATGATTCGTATGGTTCTAATTCCATCAAGACCACAATTGTTCGATAAGCTTCCATCGGCATTATGTGTCCCATTCTGCAGCATCTCAATCTCTTCTGCATCGTTGGTTACTGCCAGCCCAATCCTCTTGAAGACCTTCCTCTTCTCATCTACGGCCATCAGCAGAAGGCACCTCACAAAGCCACCAGGTTCATCCTGCTTCTGTGCGACAATGTAGTATAGCGATCCTGTGGTATTCTCGTCGTTGAAGCTTTCCTGGCCAATGTCCATGTGTACCAGAGGACCAATATTCCGTTGCGGATCTTTCCTCGATGCTATGACAATGACACCGTTGACTTTCAGAGAAAGGAACCGGCGTTGGCTGCCGGACTTCACAAACATTTCGAAGGGCAGCACACAACATCTAAGATCGACATGGCCTCCTTTTACCAGACCCGTCTTGTTTTTCGACACGTACTCGATTCGGACGTCTTCCACCTCTATGAGCAGTTTCGATTGATCAATCAGGGGTCCAGTTATGATTTTGCCATCGACTGAGGCCCAAGAGAATGATGGGGCCCTGTACACCTCGGGCCGAATAGATGGAGAGCCGTCGACCTGCGTCTCCTGATCAACATGCCATAGTAAATTGCTGGCTAAATGCTTCCGCCACATCCCCACGACATAGGTGTCGTCAACGAGAGTTTCGAAATGCTGAGCTATGCCTGAAAGAGCCAACAATTTGTCGGAGGCCATAGTCAAGCGGGTGCTTCCATACGCTCTCACGATTAAATCCCAAATTCGATGGTAGAACGTGGGGTCGTCCGGCTCTCTCTCTTGCGACATTGCATCAGGGCCGTAAGCTTCTTTACTGAGTCTCTTGAATTTTGTCGGAACGCTGTTTGCCAAGATTTCCGGCATCTTCTCTGGATAACACTCGGCCGCCACCTGCTCTCTACATTCCCAGAAGAGTTGATCGCGGCCAAAATGAAGAACACGTGGTGAAAGCAGACGCTCCTGTAGAACCCAGCCGCGCTTATTAAGATGACACTGCCCAACGGCATGGCCCCAAAATGACATGTCGATAATGCTGCAGTCGACGTATTCCGTTTCCAGTCCAAACCCCTCCGCATTGAGGCACATGTCGGTAGTAAGGCTCACTCTCGGATCCCGCTTGAAGAAAAGGCCCTTGGAACTATCGCGTGCTCCCGCTGCAGAGATGTTGCAAAATGAGTTTGAATACACTTTGTGCATCAAACCCGCTTCGACCAGCCAGTCGGAGAGATCGTCTCGATCCTGGAATATGCACAGCGAGTCGATCCAGAGGTACCGCACGCCTAGTTGTCGAGTGACTTGCACGGCTTCACGGAATGTCTTTGGAAGCTTGGAGAGCTCGATGCCTCTTTTGAAATCGTCGCACGTGGCTTTCTTCAGTTGCAGAAACTGGGCTGAACCCCAGCAATGACTCAGGGTCGCATAACGATCATTGTGCGAAGGCCGGTGTTCTGCCGTGATTACCAGACGGACAACATCTGTTCCCTCGCAACCAGCCTTGAGGTCAAGCAATCGAGTTGGATACCACGGATCCGCTTTCAGCTCAACGTTGCAAGCCGTGTGAGTAGACAAACAGGTTTGCATCCATAAGTTTGCTTTAGCCCACGCTTCCTCGGAGTCCGTGTTGTTACTGGAGAACGGTATCATCTTTCCGGCATCCTTGTCTGGTGGCCGATCACATTAGAAAAAGCTGACGGCTCATCAACCCGGCAGTGTTACTTACAATCACCTCTCTGTACCACATAAGTACCAGAAATATTTTTTTGATCAAAATGAATTTCATCCGTGAATCCCGACTCGAATGAAATGGATATCATCAAGTCAGACCCAATGGCTTTTAGACTCGGTTCCTCGAGAAGGACAACTGCGCCCATAGTCACTAGACCATCAAACTCGTCCAACCGTTGCCCAGGTGTCCAGGACTTTGCACCGCCTGCCCTAGGGCGTGAGGTCCAAGTGGCGTCGAACTCTCTCAGTCTAATCTGGTCCTCCTCGCTGATCTGGAGCCAGAACGGACGACATGTCTCGCAAGCGTCGAGGGCTGAAGCTTCAAGGCTCGCGACCGATTCGTGATGAGCAAGTAAAATGGTGGGCTCGGAGCCCTCGTCGGTATCGCGAACCCAACCCTTCCGGTGTTGGAATGCCCCAACGCAAACTTGACATAACATTCTGATAGACTGTGCAGATAGCAAGAAATCTGTACGACAGACCTGGTATGAAGACAGTTGAACACTTGTTGTTGTCTTTGAAGATGAGGCTGCCAGCATGCTTTGGGTGCCGCGCCATGTGGTCCAGTCAGGCCCATCTTGTTCGTGCGCGGGGTTAACACATACGGCTGAACTTCAGCTCGGTTGACTACACCGCAGAATTAAAGCTGATCATTGTGATAGGTGATGGTTCATGCATAAAAGCTGGGGTTGATAGGCAGGACAAAGATAAAGCCAGTCTGGGGCTGGGTGCCAAGACAGCCACAGCGCCAATGACCCTAGCCCATTGGATTGACTTCTTCGCACATAATTGTGGCCGACTGGGTTGCTTTGCAGAGAGAAATGGCAACGAGGGCGCGAATGGCTTCAGGTTTTTCTCACAGTCAACTTGACTAGAGTCAGAGCAGCATTTCTCAAGACTCCGATTTAACCCAGGAGAGGTAGCCCTCAACCCTCTCAAGTGTCTCCAGACTGATCAGAATTCTGATGCAGAGAAATTTGAGGCTGAATCGCGAGCGCAAAATGATAACGTTCGACGTTCGAGGAGGAATCGGTTCCGATGGTGTCTCGGCCTGGCTTGTACCGCTCTTGTACATCGTTAGGTGTGCGACCGCCGCGACAAAGACTGAATCAGGATGCTTGACTTACATACAAATGATGATTTAGTACTGGGCAAACTGCGCCATGATTGCCTCGAGAGGACTTTACAACTCGAATTCACCGCAACAACGACTTGGGCCCGGATCTGTTCTGTATCCACTGCCTTACCCACTTACACCGAGAAGCAATTACGCTTTCGGAATCAGAACCAATGTGTTTTCGCTTCTGCTGAGTTTGCGATCAGTGTGCGATAGAGGCTAAAAGCTACGCGCTTTGGATATGTTCTTTGGGTGGCGGGCTGCTATTCCGAATACTTGATGGGCCTCACCCGGTGCTCAAGCTTGAGTTGATAAGTTGGCGTTCGGTTGTAGCAAAGGGACATCATTTTGGGAAAGTGAAGTTTCTGAATCGCTTCAACTTGAGGTTTCAAAGAGAAGGAGAAAAAAGAGAAGATGCAGGGATGGAAGGGAGAAGGGGTTTGTCCACAACCCCCCTCACAGAAAGTTGGCTTTCTCCCTACAAGACTCTGACAAAGTAAGCCAAAATGACTGAGCATGGAAACAAATGATGCGGATGCCTTGATCGGTTTCGGACTTGAGCATCGAGACTATCGATTCATCGACGTCCTCAAAAACTCGGATGATATCGGAGAGAAAGCGAATCAATAATTGGGCATCACATTTAGTTGAACCTTTTTTCCCACAAGGTTGCAACACGAGTTCCGAAGCTCCGGGGGCCGCTCGAATCAGAACGGAGCAGTTGTCAACCTCCACGTGTGAATGTTGCAGAGATATTGCAAAATGACACTCCGGTGTTACGGCTCGAACGGTCCAGCTGCAAGCCTCAACTCCCTCACAACCACGCGCCTTTGCCGATCGGCTCGGGGCGGACCCACTGATGCCCGCCGGGCGGCGGGTCCAGGCCATGCAGCCACTTAGAAGCAGCCCGCCGGCGCGCGCAGGCGGCCAAACACTAAACAGTCATAGAGTTGACGCTTCTCTCGGCCGCCCACAGACGCACACACACTCGCAGAACACCATCTTCAGCCCATGGAACACACTATCGTCATTCCGGTCCCCGGAGTCGAAGATCAAGACCACAGACATGCCGCGCACTAGGTGAGAACTAGCGGAGACGCCGTGCGACATCCCGCGCTGTCGGTTTATACGGCCATGTGCGCCTAGCATTGGCATGGAGCTGATCTATTGCTGTCAGCCTGTCACTGTCGATGTGGTGTAGGTGTCAGACAGTCAGATAGATCTAGTCTTTAGGTGCCGGCGGGCGGATAACATCTATCACAAGCCTAGACAGCTCTGGCTTATTGCCTATCGTGACATTTTGCAACCATTTTCAGACAACACCAAACGAGCCTTCGGTCATACTACACGCTACTATGGGTTAGGTGAACGGCTCCCCCTTCCACGGGGCCACTGCCGAAGAATGGAGCTTTAGGACTTCCGCCCCGGTCGCGGATGGCGGAGGATGCGTGGATGGGCCCATATTGATCAAATCGCTTCGTGTAATCCCACGCAGTCAATTACACTGACATCAACAGACACACACGAGGGCGTTTTTGGATCAGTAACGCTTGGAGTTGCCGTCGGCCGTGGCGTTTTCTCAACCTCGTCTGCCAGAGACCGTTATCAGCAAGCAACGCCTCCAACATTACGCCGCGACGCGGCAGCGTAGATACACGAGTCAGATCCCCGACGTCAGCGAGATGAGACGAACAGGTTTTTTGGGTATGTCTTTTGCGTCCCTTCATTTCGAGATTGAGTGAGAACACTCCCAAAAAGGAGAGTACCCGAGAGGCACAGCTCTGAAAAGGAGACGCAGAGAGTAAACCATACAAGGAACAACCCTCAGCTGTCAGGTCTGATTCGGGTCCACGGCGATAGGAATGGGGACTCATGGGAAGATGGAGAATGAAATCGTTGTTGCATTTGGGGGTGGGCTTGCCATCATGCACGAGCCCGCTGCCGCCGCCGCCCACCTTCAAGCGTTGAAGGGTGAAAGGCCGGCCCCCTTTCGGAGACCCACGAAGAGGTCTTGAATAATATCCTCATGTCTTTGCATCTGCAGTCTTGGCAAGCGACAGGCTGACAGACGATCCGAAGAACGGGGTTCAATATCATCTTGAGTATTAGCCTCCATTACAGGCTTACAAGCGTACGTAGACCTCGTGTTTTCTGCACTTGCTATTGATCGGACCCGGAAATGCGGCAATTTGTGACAGGCTTCTAGTTCCCAGGCTGTCTTCAGCTGGCATGTGTGATTGTCTCAGTCTCTTACTCCCTCTGTCCCTCTCTCTCTCTCTCTCTTCCTCTCACAAATCAAGCCTGATTAATCTTCTTCTTCTTTGTGGTGTTTTGCAGGCCGAAAATTTTGCAAGCCACCCCGAGAACCGGACGCACGGCAGTACGCCGAACATTGCCCAACTGAACCTGAACTAGGCATGGATTATTCGCAGGCTTGCAGGAATCTAATCGCCTTCTGGGAAATGGTTCACGCGGTGCTAGCTTCCGAGTCCGGGGTTGCCCCCGGGTCGGACGAGAGCAGCCCAAGACGGAGGAGAACACTGACACAGGCCAGAACTTTTTTGACTTGGTCGTTATCTAGGGCGTTTCCGCTCTTGTGATTGGATGGAACGTTATCTCCCCCGCCGGCATTTACATATTGAATTTGACTTCAGTCTTTTGCAAGACGGTTAGCTTTGGGAGGGGGGGGGCGTGGTCGACGACTCGACACTAAGACTGGAGACCCCGAACAGTCGGGACATTTCCCACGCCACCGCGCCCATCCTATCACAGCTCTCAATTGGGTTCTTTGAGAGAGATAAGGCAACATTTTAGTTGTACGAATACCGTTTCTAAAACCAGATTGTCGCGGGGTCGCAGTGAATTCTATGGGGATTTCGAAGTCGGGATGGATCGAACCATGTGGGCGGGAACCCAAATGCAGTAGACGCTAGGAGGCCACGGGAGCTAAGCATCGACTTATAACAACTCGACTTCCCTCCTCGTCCGAACTGAATCCTGAGAGTGTGTCCGAACCACAAGTCCATCAACAACTTCGTCGACTCTTCACCTCGCCGCCCTCACCAAGCCGGCTTTCACAGGGCAACCCACCCAAACGGTGTCTCAGCGGTCGTTGAATCTAGAGTTCAACACCAATCCCGCGATCGAACACCCTTCACCGAGGCCTCACCGAAATCTCCACAGTTCATCCCAGAACCGCAACGATGCCCGACTGGAAGGCCATGTTCGCCCCGGCGCCGTCCCTGGACGTGCCCGGCCTCGAGACCGTCGACCTTGCCGACAAGGAGATGGAACGCCGCATCGTCCGCAAGCAGGATCTCAGAATCCTTCCCTGGATTTGCATCACCTACCTCCTGAGTACGTTTTCTCCAGCATCACGAGAAAAGACGAGAAAGTTGCCATCAAACATCCACTAACACGAGAATCACAGACTACCTCGACAGAGTCAACCTCGGCAACGCCCGCACCCTCAACAACGACAAGCCCGAAGACAACATCGTCACCATGCTCAACCTCACCGGCCAGCGCTACAACGTCGCCGTCGCCCTCTTCTTCGTCCCCTACGTCCTCATGGAGTTCCCCTCCAACATCATGCTCAAGTACTTCTCCCCCTCAAAGTGGATCTCCCGCATCATGGTCTCCTGGGGCATCGTCACCATCTGCACCGCCGCCTGCACAACCTACGGCGGCCTCCTCGCCGTCCGCATCATGCTCGGCCTCGCCGAGGCCGGCTTCTTCCCGGGTATCATGATGTACCTCTGCTTCTGGTACAAGCCCGAGGAGCGCGCCACCCGCATGGCCATCTTCGCCTCCTCCGTCGCCGTCGCCGGCGCCTTTGGCGGTCTCCTCGCCACCGGCATCTCCTTCCTCAACCGCAAGGGCGGCCTCACGGGCTGGCAGTGGCTCTTCATCCTCGAGGGCATCCCCGCCGTCATCGTCGGCGTCATGGTCTGGTTCATGCTCCCCGACTACCCCCAGACCGCCGCCTGGCTCACCCCCGAGGAGCGCGCCTTCGCCGTCAAGCGCCTCGGCCCCTTTGCCCCGTCCATGTCCGACAAGCACTGGGACAGCAAGGTCGCCAAGAAGACCATCATCGACCCGTACTTCTGGCTCTTCGCCATCATGTACTTCCTCATGACAAACTCCCTCAACGCCTTCGGCTACTTCGCGCCCACCATCGTCTCCTCGCTCGGCTTCAAGGGATACAACGCCCAGCTGCTCACCGTCCCGCCCAACGTCTTTGCCATGTTCATCATTATCGGCAACTGTCTGCACAGCGATAGGACCAAGGAGCGCTCTCGCCACGTCATTGGTGCCTTGATCTTCGTCGCGACGGGATACCTCCTCCTGGCCATCGTCAAGCACTGGGGTGTGCGCTATTTTGCTGTGTGCATTATTGCTTGCACCAACGCCGCCGTCCTCCCTTTCGTTGCTGTAAGTTCACGAATCTCCATTGAGGCATTGAAAAGAAGAAAAAGTAGACTAATAAGTAAAATAGCACCGCACCGCAACCGTCCAGGGCTCCACCGCCACCGCGCTCGCGACCGGCGGCATGATCGCCATCGCCAACACGGGCGGTATCTCCGCCCCCTTCCTCTTCCCCAGCACCGACTCCCCCATGTACAGCATGGGTAACTGGACCATCTTCGCCTTCCTCGCCACAACCGCCATCCTCACCGGCTACGTGTGGTACGTCTTTGGCAGCCACTCGGGCTACCGGACCGGCACCAAGGACGCCGCGGGCAACCTCGAGGTCCTGGACGCCGGCGCCGGC